TTTCTTTCCCCAACTCTCACAGTTTTGAAAAAGACCATCAGTAACGAAGAGGGCTATGAACATTTTGTTTACAGCATCTTCCGTTTGACATAAAAGTAAAAATGAGATACGATTTCAACCAAAATGCTGTACAAAACACGAAACTATGAGAGGTATAGAGGAATATTAGGTAAAACTACTAAACATACCAAATTTTTAATGATTATTATAGCAATTTGTACAAGGAACTAAAACCTTTTGGGTTTTCAAAAAATACATTTTCAAATTAATAATATCTACCCGTCTTTTTTAGAATACCTATAAGTCAACACAATATGAAGATATTTAAAGGGCATACAATTTCATAATGTAGCAAATATGTTTTGGGATTATATCTATAAATTTTAAATATTTTTTAGAGATTGTATTTTTTCAAATATCTGAAAAAAAACAGAAATGAGATACAGACAGAATAAACCCCTATTCTAAATTAATAAATGCCCAATCATCCAAAAGTGCAGGTACATTAGAAAAAAGGAAATAATTTCACACGATAAAAAAAACACAGAAACGAATAGGAAACATCGGGTGGTAAAAAGGACGAAAGGGGAGGGCATGCATAAAAGTTCGCGTGACCGTCATACTTATAGTACTTATCAAATGACCACAATAAAGTAAGCCGTTTTATTACCATTTTGGAAAGCTGGGTGCTTAGCTTCGTACACGAACGGGACAAGATTATTACCCGAATTTATTAGTAGATTTTTAGGCTCCGACGATTTATGATTGAGAAAATATCATTTTACCAGTAACGGGGGAAAATTTACATGCGCTTTTCGTAGCGATCGACTAACGAACTTAAGGCTTTTTGTCAGATAAAGCTGGGGGCGCACTGAAGGGGTATCGGCGCGACCGAACGACATGACTGATCCGAAAGTCGATGCTAGCCGCGCACTGAAGTCGTACAACCGACGGTCGAGAGTACATCACCAGCATATATTTGAGCATAGACGAGGAGAAATTTATTCAAACTTAGTCAAATTCATTCGGTATTTCAAAAACTTATAAAGTATTATTACTATGCATATTTTTATGCAACTTTTTATATTTTATGCTTTATGATGGAAATTAGTATTATTTAGATCTTAACAAACCACATAAAATTAGTGAAATAAAGTGGATTAATTAATGGGCAAATTCATTCTCAAAATTCAAGCAAATTCTCAAGTACTGTACGGTGGAGCCTCTACTCGTTCTGCAGCCAACGCATAAAATACTCATTTTCTCTAATTCGGCCAGCGAAGGCATATCGAAGACAGTGTTGACATATTAAAATGTGTAATATCTGTAATAAGTTTGACGAAAATATCTTTGGATGAAAAATCCGCGTTTATGTTTTGAAAATATATTAGTGTTAAACATAGAATAAACAACAAAAATAAAAATGTATATATAGGTACTGAATATTTCATATATAATCCAAAAAGTCGTTTAATTGGCTTGGAAATGACGAGTATTGACATTTCCATAATATTTTACTTATGAAATAACATCGATCTTCATTTCCAAGCCAATTCTGGCGCCGTTTTTTGTTTAATCATATAATATTACATTAAATTGTTTAGTGATAGAAAATCCGTATTATTAACATACTGTACCGAAAATACAGTAAATTTTACTAGGATTAATCCGCAGTTACGGCAACACTGTCTCCGGAAACCACCCACTCTGCCTACTGAAAACGGAACTACGGTACAGTTTTCTTTATCCGCTGCGCTGTAAGCGACTATCAGCGCGCAACGGCACAGAGCTACACTAAATCTCGGACAGGTTGACCAGCGGTGACGGTATCGCCAGCTACATTTCGGACAGGTTTGGTGCCACGAAATCGCCCATAAGGCTGCGCATCTTCTTATTTTCTCAATCAACGCTAGTATCCTTGCTTTTATTATTTTTTGCTAGTCTAATTGTAATAATTTAGACACCTTATGTCTCAGTGAGCATTTAAATGCTAGGTGTTTCTAGTACTTAAATCTTGGTCTGTTTATTTCGCAGATGATGTATTAACGTATCAATTCAATAAAAAATAAGCAGTCATTTTTTTCTTTATTTCACATTATTCACACATACGCTGGTAAATGTTATCGAAAAGTGCAAATAATCAACTCACTTTAATAGGGTTTTAAGTTGTTTAAATTTCAAAATTTGTATATCTTTTCTTTGTGACAAAGACTTTCCTTTTATTGAAAATTTAAGTCAAAATATTGCGAACGGCTACTCTTATATCGGAGGCAGTGGGAACAAGCTTTTGCTTCTGCACTTGACTAAAAATATGATACCCAGCTATATTTTACATTGCATACCAAAGGGCGCCACTTATTTCAAAAAGATGCTAATACTTACAAAGGATAGTACAAACTGAAATAAGAAAATTTGTACAAGTGTATTAATTGAATAGAAACTAAAATTAGTATAGCTATTAAATATTTTGAGAGACTGGATCAACCAATGAAACAATTCAAATACCCAAAAAATAAGATTTATTTCTTGTTAGAAATTATTCGGTACCTATTCGGCACAGCAGTTATATACATTTGTATACAAGAATTATATTTAAGAAACTCTATCTTAAAACTTGTTTAAAATCAAATTATGTCTTTTCAGATATCATTCAAACAATTATAATATAAAAAGAATACTTTTAGAGACGGTCTTGGTTTTATTCGAATATTAAATATCTAAATTTCAATTGACTTATTACGAAGATTCATGACCCTTTTTCTTTATATATAGTTAAGGGAAAAAGTTTAAAAGCTGTATCCAAGATGGCCCTTACAGGTCAAAGATCGTAATGATATAAAAGGTTAACATAAATAGATGTTAAATCCGAATCAATCAATATAAAATGGTTATTTTAATAATCAAATACAAGTAAAATTTAAGCAATGCTGAAGGCAAATACTTAAAGTGTTAAAAAAAAATATAAAATATAACAGAACGTTAAATTGTATAATTTAAAGGTTAAAGTAATGCTGAAGGCAAGTACTAACCGGTTAAATGTAAAATGTTAAGAATAGTTAATTTCTTAACACACTAATGATTATTTAAAATCAAATTAATAAAATTATAAAGAATATACTGGCCTTGTATACCCAATTACACTAAAAAAGGATCTTCTTAATAATAAAAAAAACATCACAGCATCCAACTTCTTCTCAGAGGGGTGCAGGGCTGAAATCTAACCGAACAGGCTGCTACTAATTACTTCAGTGACTGAACACGTAAGAAAACTTGTGGAAAAACTTGGCACAAACTTCTAGAAAAATATGCAGAACAACTTGCAGAAAAACGTCTAGAAAAATGTCTAGAAATACTTGAAGAAAAATCCAAAGAAAAACGTTGAGAAAAACGCTGAGAAAAATACGTAGAAAAAATGCTGAGAAAAATACGTAGAAAAATACGTAGAAAAACCTAAAAAGAAATGCACGGTATTAGTTAACCTTACATTTTAAAAAACTCGAAAAATTTAGGAAGGTATTAATTTACCTCATTGTGAAGGCACACAATCAATAATTATTTAACATTTCTTCTCAAATAAGGACTGGACTCTTCTCATCAAAAAACTGGAATCTAAAAGAAAGGTATGTGAAGGTTTTTTCTACCGAATGGAATGTCAAAGAAAATCTTACCAAAACTATAGATCCACTAAAATCTCAATAATCAAAAGTTATGTGGCACCTTCAACCATCTATAGGATAAAAAAATCACAATATTTTTCCCATATTGTGAAAAATACCAGCCAAATAAATTTTATTCTCAAAATGGCACAGTGACCTCGGTAACGGCCAAATCCGAGGTGGCGATTTTGACGTTTCCCGTCTTGTCGATACACCAGGGTACGATCCAATATTTTCGATAGAGAGCGTTCCGAAATTTAAGTGTTGTAGAAATGTAAAAAGAATATCGATACAATAATAAAATACCGTTTATAATAAAACAAAGTAGCATTTTTAAAATGAAAATGCTACATTCTCCCCCTCCAAAAAAATAGACATTGCTAAATGGCTATTTCCCAGATATGCACAAAATTACAAGAATATTTACATAATTAAAAAAACGAGGATTCTTAAGCTTGCTAAGATATTCTCACTGAGATAGCTAAGAGTCCACATACATCAGATCAGGACTACTAAAATTAATAAAAGAAATAGATAAATTAATTATCTCTAATACATATAATAAGGTTAAGCTTAGATAATGAAATTGCATTATCAAAACAGCTATCATATCCCAAATGTGTTTTTTAAATATTTCCCATATGGAGTCAAATTCGAAAAATCCGAACAGGAAATCTAAAGGTCTCTTCTAGTCAAATTAGAAGAAAAAAATTCAGTTTGAACTGAAAGAGTTCAAAAAACTTTCATATAAAAAACTATCAAAAGTTAAGTCACTATAGACTAAACTCAAAGGTCAAAAAAACTAAATCACAATAGAAGTCATCTATTACTGTCAATCAAAACATATCATATAGATCAATCAAAAATAATCCAAACTATATAGTAACTAAATTATAGTCACGCCTAAACTCCAGACAGAAATGTAAATTTAAGTATGAACTAAATACATAACATAGTGAATGTTAAAAATGTGGCCAACAAATTAACATATCACCAATCTATACAAATATATACTATATGGCGAGTGCAAGACTCGACAACTATATGTCCCAAAATATAAACTAGAAAACAATTTTGGTCCGTTTATAAAAATCCCATGCCATTTATCTAAATACAGGAGTAACTGTATTCTATAAATATCAATCTACATATTGATTGAACTTAAACAAATTTATCTGTACTGCCAAAGAAAAAATCTATAAATGAATTAAATTGATGCAACCAACATGTTATAATTAACATCAAGAAAGATAATCAATATCATCAATATAATAAGCACCTCAGCATACCCAGTATATATATATATATGCACACAACTATAAGTTATTACTAAAACAAAATATATTAATCTTCACTTGATAAAGATCTTTGATCATTATCTATGTGGTTGAAAGGCTTCAAATATTTAATATGCCAATTACCAGCTTTAGAACCATCAAGATCTTCAAGATTATAGACTAAATTAGGTAATTTTTTACGAACTATAGAATGAATACATTTAGGTACTAATTTTGTTGAAAATTTGTCAGCAGCGCTAGACAAAACTTTATTTCTATGCCATACATGGTCTCCTACATTAAAAGAAACATCTCTTTTCCTAAGATTATAAGAACGGGAATTACGCTCATGAGCTAAATGAAGATTACTACGAACTTGAATAAAAATATCTTTAAAATTTTGAAGATTAGCCGCGTAACTATTACAATCACCTGGAACTATCTCTAGGTCTTCGTGAGGAACTTCACTACGATAAAACTGTCCTGAAAGAGGTGGATGTCTACCAAAATTTAAAAATGCTGGTGTAAAATGGGTTACTTCATTTTTTGCAGTATTTATGGCTTGCTAATTTCTTTATCCCAATTTTCATGGTTATCTATATAACTCCGAACTGCGGTTCCTACAGTCCTATTGTTTCTTTCTACAAAGTTACAATGCGGTGAATATACAGGATTAAATCGAATATTAATATCAAAATTTTTTCACAAATTCTTAAATGTTTTACATGAAAATTGAATTCCGTTACCACAAATGATAGTTTGTGGGCAACCATAAACCAAAATAACACGATTTTCCAAAATGTCTTCAATAAAATGTGCTTTAGCTGAACGTAATGGAAAAAGAAGAGTATACTTTGAAAACCAATCAGCTATAACTAACAACCATTTATTACCTATCTTTGACCTAGGTAGAGGTCCTATAAGTTCTATAGCTATCACTTGAAATGGTAAATCAACAACTTTCTCTTTACCCATAAGTCCCATTCTAGCAGTGTTAGGAGCTTTTTGAGCACCACAAACCTCGCAGTTTCTAACAAATCTTAAAATATCCTCTCTCATTTTCGGCCAATAGTGCAATTCTTGAACTCTATTCAAAGTTTTAAAGAAACCAAAATGACCACTTGTAGGCGGGCTATGACAAGAATCTATAACTTCCTGTCGCTGTGGCTTTGGAACAAGAAATTTCCATTCTGGAAGGTTTTGATTCATAGGAAGACAGTTGGGGCAAATTTATAAACAAAATCATTTTCGACTTTCCACTGTGGAAAATTCTCTGGTGAGTCAATGATTTTCTGTCTCATCTTATCATACCAAGGATCTATGCGATCTACATCAATCATACAAATTACCCTTTCTTCAGAAATATCAGGAGTGTGTTCTTGAACATCCTCACTGCCAGGAATACGCGACATTGCGTCAGCAATGACATTGGAAACTCCCTTCTTATGAATTATGTCAAAAGTGTGCTTTCTTAAACGCACGCTCCAACGGGCCAATTTCCCAGAAGGATTACTTAAATTATTTAACCATAATAAACTGTGATTATCTGTAACAACGGTAAAAGGAACTCCTTCAATGTAGCACCTAAATTTCTCTATATTAAAAAGAACTGCTAAGCATTCTTTCTGAACAGTTGAATAATTACGCTCAGTTCGCGATAAAGAGCGACTAGCGTAGGCTATAATCTTATCTTATAACCCACAAAATTCTGGATGTTGATGAATTTAGAAGTATGCTTTGGAATTAAATAAAACAAGATTTTTTTTTATTAAATACTACTTATATTCTACTTAACAATTTCTCACTATAGTACGACAACTGGCTGGCTGTGACAGTCTTGACTATATTATAATGTAAAGTAGGTAATTAACTGGGATACTTAGATATATGCTTCTGCTTCCGTTGGTTGGGAGAAAGGCCTCGCCCTCTTCGCTGCACTCATCCGCTGGTGGGTAGCGTGATTGTCTGGCTAATCTTGGAGAGCTTGTGAGACTCCACCAGTCTCAGTGCGTGAGCTACTTATGGGGAGGGTCAGTTCTCGTATCTTCCTAGAAGATAATAAACAGCAGTATGCTATTCCAAACAATGGTTAAGCACCCAGTTATGTGGTAGTGTTCTACAGTACCAAGTCGACTGTCTGTGGTTGCCAATATAATGTACAATGAGAGTCAATCAAAATTTAAATCAAAGGTATAGTTATTTACCTTAACAATATTTAAATTAAATCTAATTAACTACTAATAAAAATCAACTTAAATTTAACCTTAAAATTAAAATAAAAAAATGGTCAATTTTAATACAGAAGCCGAAAGGCAGCAAAAACAAATTGGTATTTAACCAATAAATTGTTAGTCTTCTCTAAAACCCAACCAATAAAAAATTATGAATAATAGACAAAATTCTACTATCAACCTTGAAAATTTAATATTAATAATTAAATTTAATAAAATTTTAATTTAATTGAATAAAATATGAAATCTTGCTATGACAGTTTATCTCAAGTTAAGAATTAAATAGTTCCAAATTATTTTAAAAATAGGTAAAGATAAAATGTATCTCCCTCTCTCTGTCTCTCTCTGTCAAGAAATTTTAAAATTAATTTAAAAAAGAAATAGCAAGACCACTACCACACTACAGGTACGATTCTATTAGATAAATTAAAAAAAACGTGGTTCCATCAGACAATTATTTATTGCTTTGCACGTGCTAAAAACAGGCGTCTCCGTATATTATATATAGGTAGAAAAAATAAAGACAATAATTAGTTATTTATAACTCGAAAGATAGTAGAGTAACTATCTTACGATAAGTCTAAGCACGTGCTCTTATGACAAAAACTGTAGCTATATAAAAAACAAAAATAAAAAAACAATAGGTAGTTACCTACGTTTAGAAAACATATTAAGTAATGAAATAATTGCTGAAATAAATTGTTAAATAGAACCGTAGTAAAATTATCTAAAATCGTACCTTCAGCATGCAGTCTTGAAAAAAAAAATAAAAAAATCTCATCAGATTGGAATAATGGCCAAATACCCAGAGCAGAGATGAGAAGAGAAGAAGGCAAAATTTTAAAATTTTTAGTTTTATATTAACCATACCCCTTCTCCCGAAAATCTTGACATATCAGATCGAATTAAAAATAGACATGCGTTGTTAAACTAATTCTCGATAAAATTTCAACTACTAATAAAAATAATACTTAACGACTCCTTACATACCTTAAAAATCAAGGAAACAATTGCATCTTAATCAATTAGCACTGATAACAAGGAAAATTCACTTAACCTCTGTTAAAAATAAACAAGTGAATCTCAAACAGTAGGTAGGCAACCAAAAATTGCAACTATTGTATCATGAATTGCCTAAAACAATCTACGGTGTTTTACAGTCTGCAATATTTTGTACACCGTACCATTTGGTGTAATTTGGTACTCCATGGATTCTCCTGATGGATGGCACGATCCATGAAAAGAGCAACTTAATTTATATTCGTTGAACAAAAACATATTAAAATCCAAATAATAAGTTCAACTTTGCTAAGTACCATTGAGAATTATTAAAGAACGATAAAAATATATATTTTAAATTAATTAATCAATAATATATATATATATATATATATATATATATATATATATATATATATATATATATATATATATATATATATATATATATATATATATATATATATATATATATATATATATATATATATATATATATTAATTATATATTAATATAATAATAATAAATATAATATTAAATTATATATATACGATAATTATTATAAATAATTGATTAACGAATTGAACGTTTATCTAATTCTAGTATCCGACGCACAACAACCAACCGGGGAAAAGTACGGTACGGAAAAGCGAGTGTCAATGCGAGTAAAATTGCAAACTGTAAAAATCTTGTTTAAAAATAAAATAATCCGAAGGCAAGCACAACGAAAATAAATTTTCGTTACAATCTTCACCATCAATCTTTTGTAGCAAAACTCCACCCAAACCGGTGTCTGAAGCATCTGACTCAATAAAAAATTTCTCTGAAAAATTAGGTTGTGACAAAATCGGAGCTGACAATAGAAGATCTTTAATATGCAAAAATGAATGTTCTGCCTTGGTATTCCACTCTATGGATTGTCCCTTCTTACGTCCTTTAAGAAGATCGTTAATAGGAGACATCAAAGTTGAAAAGTCTTTAATAAAATGACGATACCATGAGCAGAGTCCAACAAATCTCTTAATTTTAGTAGTAGTTCGAGGTTGTGGATAATTTGCCATAGCTGATACTTTATCTGGGTCTGTTCTAAGTGAATTTGAGCCAACAACATATCCTAAAAATTTTAAAGTGGTTTTAAAAAAATCACACTTCTTCAAATTTAGTGAAAGTCCTGCTTCACGAAGTTTTTCTTTCACTTCAGTGAGGAGTTTTATATGGTGATAAAAATCTTCACTTATAACTAAGATATCATCTAGATAAGTAAATATATGGGGCTCAAACTTAGGACTGAAAATAGCGTCTACTAAACGTTGCTGAGTCTGCGCAGCATTGCGAAGACCGAATGGCATTGTTACGAACTGAAAAAAGCCTCGACCTACTACAGCAAAAGCAGTCTTTTCTTTCGAACGTTCATCAAGAGGAATTTGCCAAAAAGCTTTACGTAAATCAATGGAAGAGATAAATTTAGAATTTCTTAATGAACTTAAAATTCTTTCAACGTTAGGCAAAGGATAGCAATCATGTTTGGTAACCTCATTTAATGGTCTACCATCAAAACAAAATCGATATTCGCCATTAGCTTTTTTGACTAATAGTACGGGCGAACAATAAGGACTTTTGGACGGTTCAATCACACCTAACTGTAACATTTCGTCTAATTCATCATTTAAAATTTTAGCCATATAAGGAGACATAGAAAAAGGTCTACGTTTGAAAGGTGGAGCGTCACCAGTATCGATGTTTAAAGGAATTTTATCAGTACGTCCTAACTTATCTTGACTACTAATCTCATCAAAAGAAGCAATAACATTTTCAGCTCGAATTCGCTGTTCAATAGAAAGATCATCTAATGAGTTTAATAAAGGAAATAATTCATTTGAACTAGGCATATCTGTTACACAAAGCTCTCATGCTTTCTCTGTACATGCCAAGAATCATTCTTAAAATTAACTAGGTACTATATTAAAAGTTTTTGCAAAATCACAACCAAATATAAAAGTTTGTGGTAGAAATGGAACTACAAAAGCTTTGATAACATGACAACAGTTCAATTGCGACAGGCAAATCTACAATTCCGCTGAGAATGTGTTGTTTTAAATCAGCTGTGCATATATAACCGGTCTTTGCTGGGTAAATCTTTAAATTCAAATTATTTAAAATGTCCAAACCCTTTGAACCAACAACAGAAGCAGTAGCTCCTGAATCTAATAAAACTGAAACACTTATATCATACAACTTCACGGAAATATATGGTCTATTATCAAGTGACTTATTTACGAACACAGGAGAAACTTCATTTCCATCACTACTTTCTGGAATACAACCTTTATTCGAAACCTTACTCTTGCAAACTCTATTATTCACTAAAGAAGTAACCATAAAATTACGAACTTTATTCAGCCAAGCTGACCAATCTTTATTATTAAAAAACTTCTTAAAAATAGGTGACTTATCTTGACGGTGATTATCTTTTGAAAAACTATTTGAAAATCTTTTATTATAAAAAAATTTAGAGGCCTTATTATGAACTGTCGATCGACCCCTGAAATTCACAGAACCTACTAGTTTTTTGAACATTTAGTACAAGAAGTTGTTTTTACATCAGGCAATCCACATTTAAAACTAAATAATTTTCCAGGAGCAATACAATTCTCAAAAGTATGGTTAGCAAGACCACAATTCCAGCAAACAATAGACCGTTTAGTTTATCAGATTTAATAGAATTATTAGATTTAAAAGAGTTATTGTTGTTATTACTATTAAAATTATTTTTATTTTTATTAAACTTATTTTTAGAATTGTACTTCTGATTACTACTTTTAGAACAAGATGGAGATGGCTCGTCTAAACTAGAAATACATTCTTTCGGTCTTTTGTCCTTCTTAGTAAGATAATCAGCCTCCTCAGGACATCTACATAAATCTGAAAGTTCTGCAACAGTGTTAACATTTGTAAGTGCTAACCTGCTAACAAATTCTGGAAGAAGATTTCTTTTAATTTGTTTTAAAATTTTAGAAGTTTCGAAAGGTGTTCGCGAAAGTCTCGCAAAAAGGCTTCCAGATGAGCAATGAAAACTACCGTTGACTCATTTTTCCGCTGTTTCCTCATTTTGACCTGCTCCCAAATTTTTTCGTCAATATCATCATGCAAAAAATCACGCTTTAGTCTAGCTACTAAATCTTCCCAATTATTAACAGAATTCTTTATACTTCTGTACCAAACAAAAACATCATTAACAAAAAATTCAGCTGCAGAAAAAAAAGTTCATTAGTTGAGACATTTCTAGCTGAGGCAAGTTCAGTTAATCTTTCTAAAAATGGATATAAATTATTACCAGTACCATCAAATTTAATTTGCCATTCACTAACAGGCTGACTACGTGATGAACAACTTACAATAGGGGTTGGAATGTTTATAACTGGATTTGAAACAAAAGATTCATTAGTATTTGACGTAGATGGAATTTTGTCATAAAGGTCGCCTTCTAATTTCAAACAAGTAGCATTAGTCTCACTAATATAAGTCTTAACCAATGGCAATAATTTGGGGTCTAAAGAAAATGAAATAATATGCTGAACTCTACCTGCAATATGACTCAAACGCGACTTTACTCTAAGAAATGTACTGTCACTTTCTGCACCTTCAAAGTCTTCGATAATTAAATTAACTGAATTTAAACTTTTCCCAATAGCTTCTTGTTCTTTGTTAAAATCTAATTCTATATTTGCTAACTGTATATTATTACCAGGTTTGGATTTTTCACTAGCTAATAATCGACTTAAAATTTTACGTTTGTCTGCAACGGGACGAGTAGTAGCAGACTGACGAATAAACAATTCATAATCCAACTCATAATCTAAAAGATGACTGGGTCTAAAGTTATAAATGTCCATCATGAATGACTAAATGAAACGATAAATAAATATTGAGGAAAAAGAAAACAAATCAAATATAAGATTAGCGCCGACTAAAACTATGAACAAGTATTCTTACCCTGTAGGTGTGTATACTTACTCTCTAAAAGTTTGTAGTCAATTCAAACATAAGTTAGATATTGCACAATTAAAATTATCAATATCAAACACTAAATCAAATGTTAAACATTAACATTAAAGTCACTTTTCAAAGGATTCCCAATAAATCACTCTCAAAAAATTTAAACACGAAGTAAAAATCAAATAAAATCAAATTGTATGATGTGTATTGTTACTCAAAAAAAAAAATAATGAAACCAAGTTAACAGAAAAAAATCACTAATGAGGTTTTTCTTTCTTACTAAATTGTTCCAAGTTCAATCATATACTGAACAAGAAAAATAAACTATATGTATACCTACCTATAAAATATACAAGTTAATGTATACCTAAGTGACAAATCAAAATAAGTCTATCTTCAGTAAACACGTATAAAAAAATTGAAAATAGTTTCCAAGTTTTCCGAGAGATATAAGAAGATCAAATATCGAAAAAGAATTTAAACTAAATCTTTACTTGAAGTGTTTCAAGGTTGGTATCTCAAAATATTCAATTAATAAATTATCAAAAAAATTAATCAGTGTATCTAGAATAATAGCTGTAAAAAAATTAAAAGTGTACAAACGCTGGACGCCACTTTCTTTGTGACAAAAACTTTCCTGTTATTGAAAATTTAAGTCAAAATATTGCGAACGGCTACTCTTATATCGGAGGCAGTGGGAACAAGCTTTTGCTTCTGCACTTGACTAAAAATATGATACCCACCTATATCTTACACTGCATACCAAAGGGCTACTTATTTCAAAAAAGATGCTAATATTTCTAGAAAGGATAGTACAAACTGAAATAAGAAAATTTGTACAAGTGTATTAATTGAATAGAAACTAAAATTAGTATAGCTATTAAATATTTTGAGAGACTGGATCAACCAATGAAAATAACTAAATACCCAAAAAATAAGATTTATTTCTTTTGTTAGAAATTATTTGGTACCTATTCGGCACAGCAATTATATACATTAATATACAAGAATTATATTTAAGAAACTCTATCTTAAAAACTTGTTTAAAATCAAATTATGTCTTTTCAGATATTATTCAAAACAATTATAATAGAAAATAATACTTTTACAGACGGTCTTGGTTTTATTCGAATATTAAATATCTAAATTTCAATTGACTTATTACGAAGATTCATGAACTTTTTCTTATTTATAGTTAAGGGAAAAGTTTAAAAGTTGTATTCAAGATTGCTCTTACAGGTCAAAGATCGTAATGATATAAAAGGTTAACATAAATAGATATTAAATCCGAATAATCAATCAATATAACATGTTTATTTTAATAATCAAATACAAGTAAAATTTAAGCAATGCTGAAGGCAAATACTTATTCGGCAAAACATCACAGCATCCAACTTTTTCTCAGAGGGGTGCAGGGCTGAAATCTAACCGAACAGGCTGCTACTAATTACTTCGGTGACTGAATACGTAAGAAAACTTGTGGAAAAACTTGGCACAAACTTCTAGAAAAATATGCAGAACAACTTGCAGAAAAACGTCTAGAAATGTCTAGAAATACTTGAAGAAAAAATCCAAAGAAAAACGTTGAGAAAAACGCCGAGAAAAATAATTTATAAAAAAAAAAAAAAAAATGTTGAGAAAAATACGTAGAAAAACCTAAAAGAAATGCACGGTATTAGTTAACCTACATTTTAAAAACCGAAAAAATTTATGAAGGTATTAATTTACCTCATTGTGAAGGCACACAATCAATTATTTAACATTTCTTCTCAAATAAGGGCTCGACACTTCTCATCAAAAAACTGGAATCTAAAAGAAAGGCATGTGAAGGTTTTTCTACCGAATGAAAATTACCAAAAACTATAGATTCAATTAAAAATCTCAATAATCAAAGCTATATGGCACCTTCAACCATCTATAGGATAACAAATCACAATATTTTTCCCATATTGTGAAAAAATACCAGCCAACAAATTTAATTTCAAATGACAGTGACCTCGGTAACGGCCAAATCCGAGTGGCGATTTTGACGTTTCCCGTCTTGTCGATACACCAGGGTACGATCCAATATTTTCGATAGAGAGCGTTCCGAAATTTAAGTGTTGTAGAAATGTAAAAAGAATATCGATACAATAATAAAATACCGTCTATAATAAAACAAAGTAGCATTTGGAAAATGAAAATGCTACATCTTTAAGTCTGATTCAGAACTCCGAAATTAGTGGAATAAATTAGTGATTTCAATTAAACTTTTTACTTAAAAATTTATCAACATTCACAATACCGTTTACCCACGATTCCCAGTGTGAATACATCTCAATTGCAAAATCCTCTAACGAGGAATAGTATGTATATATTAAGGGTATATATTACATGTATATATTAAGGGAAACTATTTATTTACAGTTCATGAAAATATTTAAAAAAAAGAAAGAACTATGAAATAATAAATTAAATACTTACACACTAATTATTATAAAAACTATTCGAACTATGCCAGCTAAAATGTTCATTATGGGCTTACGTTCGAAATATTCCAATAGCAAAAAAAAACACTCTACTGAACAGATCATTTTAAATAAACATACCTACACAAGGTAAACGGAATTTAAAAGATTTCAAACTGGAAAGCTGATATACGCATATGAATGAGGCTTTAATCCGATGGAATTGAAAAATGCACTAATGGAATAGCTTTACGAATTAACATGGGTTGGTTAGCATTAGCTGATTTTTTGGGATGTTTGGATTAAGCTATAAAGGTATATTTTGAATAACCAAACAAAAAAACTATAGTAGGAATATCTATTAACTTAATTGTCATTAAGGCTATATGAAATGTTGTAGTGCGTCAAATAATTTTTCTCAATGGAAAAATAAAAATATGTTCACCACTTCAAACACCTAGAACCACTTTTAGTTTTTTGTGTGTATAGCTCTAGTGAAAACTAATCTTAGTTTTTATAAAAATTTAGAGAATAAACTGTTGCTATAAAATTTACACCGGGTGGTGCATCGTCATTGGATACAGAAAATCGCATGCAGATTTTGAATTGTCCAGATATGGGCCCCTGATAATTTTACAGCGTAGAAATATAGACAGCACAACCAATTATAGACGCTTTTTAGATGTTGTTTTTATTAAACTATTTAAAATCAGCTTGTCCAAGATTGCAACACAGGCAGACCTCTAAAAACCCTATTTATGGCTTAACTATAATACGGAAAGCATTTAATAGGAGCCAATATCTGGACAGTTCAAAATTGGCATGGGATTTCCTGTTTCCAACGACGCCGACGATACACCACCCGGTATTCATCGGGCACACAATTCAGCTCATATTCTAATGATGAGAAAACTATTAAAATATCCAAGTATATAGGTAGACAAAAACGGTAATCCTTATTAGCTTAAAAAAACTAAATCCTTATATTAAGTACTTTTCGGTTACGTCTATTTTTTGTTATTGAGCATAAAAAAATCACAATTGACTAAACGTTCCTCAGTGTGGGTACATCTCAATTATTGCAAAACCTCTAACGAGGTATAGGGGGACTCAAAATATCACAATCTTTTCAAATGTTTAAGTTATAAAATACAGTTACAGACAAAGTTAAAAAAGGTTAGGTTAGGTTAGGTTTAAATTATTATAATAATGCGGGACATATTAGAGGGGGGCTGGTTTCGTAACAGCGCCCCCTCCTCAGATACATGCTTACGGATACATGGCTCTACGGCCTCTGATACACTGAGAAGTCTGGTAGAAATAGCAGTCTTCAGTTTTCTCGCCCGATCTCTGCTTTGGGATGTAATAGCAAACGAGGATCTCGATCCCCGTAAATTTAAGCAGGGTCTCAATCATATTCCGGATTGTAGGTCAACTCAAACCACCGAGTCCACACGCCGGCTTCGAAATGGCTAACCGTGTAATGTTGTTGTTTAGCAGGGCTTCTCTCACTTTAATCAGAGACTTCCATAAATTGAGATAACTTGGCTTACTCGGTGATAATTCTTTGGTGACCAGCTGGAAGATGTGTCTTGTTTGAGATTGTATTTTGGAACTGTTGACAGTTGTGTTAAAACTACTTATTTCCAATTAAATAATGAATTTTTTTAACAAGATTTCGGTATGGCAATGGGATCACCTCTCAGTAGGTATTTTATGAGAGAGCCTCCTCCTCATTTTCTGTGATTTTCCCTCCTTGTACCATGAGAGAGCCTCCTCCTCTTAGGAGGAGGCTCTCTCATAAACAGATATTTTTATCCCCACTTATTTCTACCTCCTCCTCCCACCAATATAATATACGTTTCAAAATACATTAATCTCCACTACTTTCATCCCCACTACTTTTATCCCCACTATATAGTTTGTAAGGTAGGTCTTTAGAAGAAAGTAAAGCGCATCTTTTTTATTCATCGAGAGTGATGCAATACAATAAGAAAAAAATAACTGATGTTGTTAGAAAGCTGATACAAAATATATTGATTTTCATCAATCTATTTCTCATCAAATAGTTTTAATTAATCAAAATGATTTATTTTTGCCACTAAAAGAAGATTGTCATAGGATAACTGAGTTTTGTGCTGATTTTCTATTACAAAGGATTAATCTTTACGAGTTTGTGCGTGCATTGGGACATACATATTTTGCAAGTGAACTAACACACATTGTTCCATACCTGAGAGTAACGAAGAATTCAAAGTTATAAATAGAAATTTTAAAGGTGTTCGAGCGGTTCCACTTGGATGACGCTAGAGATCAGTTATTTCAAAGATTTAAAGACAAGTTACCACAACCCGGAGAAGTTAAGAGCACAATATCAAGAAAACATAGACTTCTTCGTCAATATCGTGCTCCGAAATATTTAAAACTATATTTTGTTTTAAGGTGAAAAA